CAAGCAAACTGACCTGCTACAGCATGCTTTCTGGATCTCTTTGTACCCTGTCATTATTCACTCATACGCCTTGGGGCAGCTACTAGCAACTCATTCAGCCTCTCCCCGAATCCTGCCTAGGCCAGCATCATTTAAAGCTTTAATGTCTCCTTCGATTCTAGATTCAGATCTGGGAAGAGCAAACTTTGCCAGCCTGGTAGCAGCACTCCCCAAATAACCAGACAGATCTGTGATGCAGATATTACCCTTACTGTAAAAGAATTCCCTGAGAATGGATGGACATATGCTACACTTCATCAGTCTCTACTGCAGGGCCACACTCCTAATCTCTTGGGTATCACAGCAGCAAAGTCATAATCAGAGCAGTCAACATCAATGCACTAGCTTATGCCCAGAGACAAACAAGATCTTGGCAAACCAAGGGTGCAGGAGGACGAGGAGCAGTGCTCCACTCCTTCTTCTGGACCACATCTACAAGATCAGCTTAGAGCTGGGTTCAAATTCTTTGACTGTCAAGGATGCAAATATAAAACATTCTGAATGCAGAGCTGAAACTGCAGACAAGCAATAGTGAGATGCCAAACACGCCACAGCTCCTGGCTACAAACGAAGACAGGCTTCACAGAAAAGTTAGCACGAATTGACAGTGTGGCAGAGGCAGTACAAGGAAGTGGTCTGGATGTTGCCACTACATAAATCCTCCCTACCTAGAGGAGGCCCCAATTGTCACATCAGCCAATGGAGGCTGGTTGCAGAACTCACATGAAACCACTCCACACTAGGGATGTTAAATACTGGCTAACTGAATAGTCAATTAACCTCATGAATTCTTATCTGTTCCTTGAGAAAGCTGCTCTCAGGCCACTCCAGTTTGTTCACCTAACAGCTCTGCAGCCACAGAGCCGCAACACTCCCACTGGCTGCAGCCGTGGCCCACTTTGAGAAATACAGTACTGATCTAGACAGCAAAGAAAAAAACAGCAGCAGAGAAGTAACATCTTAAAGATGCTTTTACACAGTACATCCTGCCTCTAACCTAACCAGTCCAGGGCGAGAATGGGAGGCTGGGAGAGTGCCCCTGCGCCAGGCCACATCGGGGAGAGTAGAGGAGGGAGAAGATTGCCCCCCACCCTGGGAGGATACAAGGGGGAGGAAGAGAGCCCCCTGCCCTGGGATGGGCCAGGGGAGACAGAGAGAGAGCCCAATAGCCCCCACGCACAAGCCAGTATGCAAGGTGCACAGTCCCTGATGCCCTGGGCGGCCCCCAGGTAGAAACCAGCAGCCAACCCCAGCCTCTCCCCTGACTCCTGCACCAGACCCCTCACCCTCCCAAACCACCAGCCTCCTGCTCTGAAGGACCTGAGCAATGACAGGTAACTCTTCCATTTGGTGTGTGTGTGTGTGCAAATATAATTACACACACACATACACATACACACACACACACTCAATTCCAAATATCAAAGCTTCTCACAAAATTCCCAAGTAATTTCTCATCCATCATGTACTTTCAAAAAATCCTGACTCTTCAAGGATTCTTTCCATTGACTTCAGTGGGCTTTGGATCAGGCCATAAAATGTATACAGCTTTAAATCCTGGGCAAGTCCTTTGCCTTGATGATGACAACCACTCAAAATAATTACTGTCACACTAGCTAGCACTTTGTTCTATGGCCTCAAATGAATTAAAAACAGTTAAATGGAGTGTAAAGAAACAATGAATATTCTTTCAGGAAAGTGGCAACAGACACTTGGCTGTGCTATGAATTACAAAATGAATGGTGTATAAACAAATCTGGAATCCATCAGCAAATTAAAAAACTAGTTTACTGTTCCTGCTCTTGACATCTGTTCCTATGTGCTATTGCTGACAACAGAAATTAAGATGCTCCTGCCTGATATTTTGGGTATTGAATCTTCTTAATCAGTTTAAAATTATCTAAATTTTAAAACCTAATATATGCATTAATGAATCCCAAAACTGGAAAAACAAGCCAGCTTGCTAGACAAGTTATAGTGTTCACATTAGGGATGTAAGTTACTAGTCGAGTAGTCAACCACCCGATAAGCCTAGCCTTATCGGGTAGTTGAGTCGACTAATCGCTCCCCTCCCCTCCCCTCACCCTTGCTGACTCTGTATCAGAGACAGCAAGAGGGGGTGAAGTAGGAGCCACTGCTGGGAGGAGCCAGCTTAAAAGTCAGTTCCCCCCAGGACCGTCTCCACAATGCCGCGGGCCAGGAGAGCCTCATGTCAGGTCCCAGACTGCTGTGCCTCTGCATTTTAAATGTAGTAAAAGCTGGGCAGCAATTACTACATTTAAAATGCATAGGTCCTACTCCCAGCTCGCACTGGGTCCCTGACTTAGCCCCACTGCAGCTCTGCAGTTTAAATGTAGGAGGAGCCAGGCTTCCTGCGCAGGAAGTAGCTTCTAGACCCAGCACAAACTGGGACAAAGAGACTCCCCTTATTAACTAATTGTGTAGTCAATACAAACTGTATCAACTATACAATTAGCCAATTACCTGCTTCTTAACATCCTTAGTTGAGGCATGAAAAAGGTATGTAACTGACAATCATGTTACACCCTGAACTTCATTTCACTTTACCTATTCAATGACATGTTCAGAATGCCACAAAAACGTGTACCTAAAGGCATCTATTTTTCACTTGACTAAATTCTATGAATTCTTATGAAGAATCCACATCACAGAATGCACCCATTTCCCTTTTGACCTGTCCTTTTCCCTCCTCTCTTATTAACTACTTCAGTCGATAGTACTGTTGTACAGTGCTTACAGAAATTTCCACAATTTGACAATTTGATATTTAATCACTTATAAAGAAGCTCCTGACCATTCTTACTAAGGATGTTAAAATGTGTGTAACTGATTGACCATGTAATTGATCACGGCTCCTGCCTATGATATCAAGGCAACAGAGTGAACCAGCAGAAGGCTCTTGCTAGTGCATGCAGAGAGCCGATTTTTAAGCCATTTTCCTCCCACACTTAGGGGCTTCTGCCTCTCGTCACATGCTGCTACCTCCGTATCAGAGACAGCAGCGTGTGGCGTCAGACTGGGATCCACATGTAAACATTTGGATAATTGATTACCTATTTAAATGGCTACACTCTTACACCCCTAATTCTTATACCATTTTTTATCACTGTCCAAAGCTCAGAGTCATTTGTGTTTAAATCAGGGGTCTGCCACCTACGGCTCTTGAGCCAAATATGGCTCAGAATGGAACCCAAATATGGCTTTTTTGTCATTCCCAAAATACATGCAACTTTTTAAATTAAAATGAAAAATGTTAAAAACACATAATTACTCACGTAGCTTGAATGAACCTGAATTTGACCAGTTATGATGTAAACTTCAAAGAAATGTGTGAAAACATGCAGCAGCATAAATAATGTCTGTGAGTAAAATGTTTCATTAATGCTACTATTAATCCTTTTGTCAATTATCAATAATATTAAGTTGTATATTTTCAGTCATGCAAATAGGATTCTTATGCGGCTCTTTGTTGACCACTTGTTCTGAATTTTGATGTAGTTTGGCTCTTTTGTTTGAAAAGGTTGCCAACCCCTGGTTTAAATACATGGCAAGAGTACATTTTATTCATTGCATACAGTAATGTTCCACTCAATCTCTGGATTTAACTGGGGTCACAAATCCCTCCATCTGTACTGCAACAGTTTCCTATTGCAGTATTAGCTTCCTTTCTAAATAAAATGCAACAGACAGGTCTCAATCTTTTAAAACTGTTCTAAAAATAGTTGCATGTCATAACTCCTGCATACACTCATCTTTTACATTTATTTTAGCACTTAGCATTAAAGGTACCGTAGGCTTGTTAATTGTGTTTACGGTATCTAAATTCACATTCTGAGTACCCTGGACTACCAGAGACTGGCTTCACCCCTCTGAGAAGGCACTGTGTTGCTCTCAAAAGATCACTCTTGAGCCTTCTGACACATGGAACAGTGTTGACAGATTCTGGATGGAATTACATCATGTGCACCTGAGCAGAAGGAAGGATTGTAGAAATATGGACCTTTTTGGGGAAGAGTAAATAGAAGGAAACTGTGGACTCAAAGTGCTCTCTGCACAACATACACCCTACACAAAAATTAATCAAACTTTTTTAAAATGGCAAGGTTGATTTAGTTTACACTAAAACCCACAAGAATATTTTGGGGGCACCCACTACAGGTAATGAAGTATCCATTTTCCAGCAGTGCTGCAGGTATCCCCTGACTGTGACAGTATATACTTTTAAGTGTAGATCCTGCTCAGGTGTTTTGACCATCCTGCAATGAAAATCACACATTGGTATACCTAACTGCCTTCTTATATTGTTCTTGAGCAGTTCCAGCATTTCTAGGCAATGGATATACAACTGTTCAGTGTATATAGTTCCCAGGCCAAAGGCAGTATGTAAGATTACCCTGAATTCATTCTGTTGTGCCTCAGTACTGTAAACAACATGATCCTCTATCTAAAGATCTCAGAACAGAAGGTGCTCTTATATAAACACCACAATGATGGGGGGGGGCATCTCTATATCTCCCTGCTTGCCTCAACTTAAACCAGACCCTGTAAAGTCATTTTGGCAGAGCTTTTGAGCCTCACTGAACAGAGATCTAATCTGAGGATTTAATGCACACCACTAACTCCCCAAGCAAAGGGGAAGTGGAACAGGCAGATGTCATCAGGGCAGCTAAACATCATTTCATGTTGGCATTTCCCTATAAACTATTATTTTACTTCCCCAAAACCATAAAACTGCCCCAGATCCTAAAATATGAACTGATCGTACTTACCCTGCTGGGGAAGGGGGAAGGAGGCAGGTGTATTACAATGGACAGAGCGAGACGAGCAATTTACAATGACACCCGCGCCCGCTTATGAACCCTGTAAGCCAGAACCACTTGCCCTGAGTTTGGTTGCCATTTCGGCCCGGAGGGCTGCAAGCTCGAGCTCAGAGGACTCACCTACGGCAGGAAGGATGGGCTGGCTCGCGAGGAAGCGCCGCTCTGGGTGGCGAGAGAAGGGCTCCGGCTCCTCGCACTCGCTGGGGCAGAGCCCAAGGCGGAGCGCCCCGGCAGGGGGCTCAGGCACCAGCAGGTACATGCAGCGCGCTGCCCCGCGCGAACACAGGCACCAGCAACAGCTGCCCCCGGGGCACAAGTACTAGGTGCAAACTTGGTGTAGCAGGGACAGTCCTGGGCTACCGGTCACATGTGAGCAACAACTGCAGTGCAGGGAGGGCTGGTGGGTGCGTGCCGCTCCCTGGCTAGGTCCGGGGGCTGCCACGCAAACCCCCAGCTCCCCTCGCTCTCTCTTCCGGGAACATTCTGTACTGGAGTTCCCTAGGCAGCGCCTCCACCTCGGGGGTGGGTGATGAAGCTGCCCAAGGAGTTTAGGCGGCCAAACCTAGCTGGACAAGAGAAAAAAAGAAACAGTTCTGCTACCCCTCCCTCCCCAACTTGAAGTTTTCACTTTGCAGAGTTCAAAACAGACCAAACTTTCTCTTTTTTTAAACCCTAAATGGTTACTAGATCTTTTTGATTCCCAGTAGTAATAGAGATGTAACCGTGTTAGTTTGATCTTGCTGAAACCAAAGACAGGACTACGCAGCACTTTAAAGACTAACAAGATGGTTTATTAGGTGATGAGCTTTCTTGGGCCAGACCCACTTCCTCAGATCAAATTGTGGAAGAAAATTGGCACGACCATATATACCAAAGGGATACAATTAAAAAAAAAAGTGACAACATAAAATTGACAAATCAGATTTTAGAACAGAGGAGGGAAGGTTACTGTCTAGGAGAATGATATTAGGGGTGATAATTGAGGAAGCTATCTTTGGAATGGGTAAGGTAGTTAGCATCTTTGTTAAGGCCCATTCCTAAAGTGTCAAATTTAAGCATGAATGACAGTTCTGAGGTTTCCCTTTGTAGTCTGGTGTTGAAGTCTCTTTGAAGTAAGATACATGCAGTGAGGTCGTTGAGACAATGCCCAGGCTGGTTGAAATGACAAGAAACTTTTTTCTTTGTGAAACTGTCTGATTTGTGGGCATTAATTCCTTGGCGAAGTGTCTGAGAAGTTTGTCCAATATACATAGCAGACGGACACTGTTGGCACATAGCATAAATTATATTTCTGGATGAACAGGAATATGTGCCCACAAATAACGGCATTGCACAAAAGGGTTTTTCTTGTGCAAGAAGGGGCAGTGTAGACAGCTCCTGGGCAAGAGCCTCTTATACAAAAATGGTGGTTCATTAGGTATGTAAAGGAGGCTCAGTGATATTCCTCGCATCCTCATTTCCATATTTGACACAAGAAGCCATGAGTGTAGACATAGCCTAAAAGTAGTATGCTATCAGACACCTTTCATAAGCACTACATTAAAAATTAGATAAGAAAAAAAATTAGAATTGGTTTCATAATAGTCACATACACATTTATGCTTGAGATATTTTTGAATGATTTGTCAATATAATTTAAAATGTTATTGATGTTTAACAATTAATTTCACAAATGTGCAAAATTTTGGAGGGAATCAGACAATGGGAAGTCAGACAATTATTTAACAATGGGGTCTCAGATTTTACCGTCAGATTGTGTTATGGCTCTTATAGTGAAGTTAGCATGGTTCCAGTCAGTTTCATGGGTGCTTTTCATAGAGCAGCGGCCCAGATAGGCACTAGAACTACTCCCAGAGGATGAGGAGACAAAATTAACTGAGTCCCTGTTTCATTAAAAAAAAGTAAGAAGGTAGACGAAGAGTAAACGAGACAGAAGGAAGGATAGAAGAAAAGGCATAACCACACAACTTAGAAAGAGCTACTTTCCCCAGTTGGTGGGACAGAGGAGTTGCTGTATTTGAATTATCTAATAGCCAGATGCTGATATGAAAGAGCCATAAACTGAACAGCACCTCAAGAGGAAATCCTAGCTCCCTCTTCATCACCAGCAGGAAGTGGCAGTGAGGCGTCTCTAGGTATGTGCTGGAGTTCAGTTACAGGGCCTTCTATTGTCCTATCTATGATCTCTACCTAGTAGAGTTTTTCAACTCAAATGCAAGGTTTTATAAGCCAAAATAAATGCTTTGAGTGGTAGCTATGCTTGCAGTGGTCTAACAGTCCAGTTTTCTAGCAAATCCCTCCCCCTTCTCTTTCAATCCATCTATGTTTTAGGGGTTTTTTTCATGCAGCTGAAGTGAGAGAAGAACAAAAGCAATCATTTTTATAGTTGGCAAACAGCTTGGAAATTTAAATTCAGGAGCCCCTATAAACAGAGAGAATTTATTTAATCTAATCAAGTTATTTAGGCTTTTATACTGTATTTATCAGTACAATAAAGGTTTAGTCAGCCCAGAACACAGCTAGTTAGCCAATTAGAGTGGGCACATTTGCAATTCACTGTATTAAGAAATAGCTTTACAGATGTACAAAATTGCAGAACTAGTATACAGGGATTTCCATACTATACTATTATTGAGAAACTCTCAAGATTGGTTATACAGATGGAGATTCCCATAACTAGGCCAAGTTCATTGTATGCATAAGAAAACAATGTACAGTTACTGAAAGGTAATCACCACATCTGTGTCCTCAGGCTGTGACAATTTTATTTCAGAATATTGATTTTTAATTAAAAAATAGAATCCAATTAATCAATACCAACAAGTATTTCTGTTTCTTATAGTTACCAGTTTAACAATATATGTGAATGCAATGATAGCTTGTTAAGATTATGTTATTGCTATAGTGGAGAGATTCACAAGTCACAACAAACAAAGCTATTTTTGCTGTCAGTAGCAACAGTGTAACTCCATTTCAGTGGAGTAACTCAGGATTTATACTGCTGTAACTCATAACAAAGTGTGATGTTTACAAATGATCATATACAAGGAAAAGTTGATGGTGAGACAGCAGAATATTTTAATGGGGAGATGCAAAGTTATAAACATCAGTATTGGTGATAAGAGAACAAGTGGATTGTTCATATGAAACAGGAAGTGCTACTGCAGAGTAGCAAAGTGGAGTTGCAACTTTTTTTTAGATTCTGCTCTTTGCAGCAGAAGAGCACTTCAGAGATTTCACTGTTAGTTTCCTATTTTTTCCTCTTTTTTTGTTGCTATTACATTATCTTCCTCACAAAGTCTGACAAGTCTCAGAGGGATAATTGTATTAATCTGCATCTGCAAAAACGAGGGTTCTGTGGCACCTTAAAGACTAACCGATTTATTTGGGAACAAGCTTTCATAAATTTATCTGACAAAGTGATTTTACCCACAAAAGCTTATGCCCAAATTAATCTGTTAACGTTTTGGTGTTTCAACCCTAATATAACAATATAAGTAGCACCATCATGCTACAAAAATACATTCTTGTATTCATTTGGTCACAAGGATGCCTGTAAAGAATAGGACACCATTATTGGTGTATCATCTTCTATTCATTATAACAAAAGAGCTTGTGTTGCTATTTCTGTTTTATTTGATGACAGCCTGTTTAATAAGTATATAAGGGCCTGATCCAAACCCTATTAAGTCAATGGGAGACTTTCCATTGACATCAATAGGCTTTGGATAAAGCACTAAATTCTTATCTAATGACATCTTATTCTTCTGGTTCTATTTATATATTGTTCCAGTTATTCCTATCAGCAGAATGTTAAAGATGCCCTTTATTAGAGTGTATGTTTGTATGCTTCATATTTTGCAAGCACCCATAACAGAATTTGTTTATAATTGTCTTCACAGGCATGGAGAGTTTTGATAATACAAGTAAATGGTCATGAAAGAGCTGAGCCATTGTCCGATTAAAATAAGTGTAAAAACAAAAAACAAAAGTAGCATGCCTAGATGGTGTGATGTCTCTCTTAGCCCCCATAAGAATAGTTTAAAATGACAGCAGGGAACCTATTGATGTTTTAGGCTTTTCCTTTTGTTCAGAAACTGTTGCTGTTTGTAGTAAGATAAAGGCCTAAGGCAGGGGTTGACAAAAGCCTCTCAGTGGGCCAGATCCAGCCCATGAGGCAGTTCCAGGTTCCACCCCTTAGTGCTGGGGTTGGCAACCTCTGGCATGTGTACCACTTATGGCACACAAGTCAATTTTCAGTGGCACACGGGAGGGAACTTCTCCCCCTGCACAGCTGCTAGAGAGTGTTCCCTGCAGCAGGTTAGGCTGCAGTGGGAGGAGACAGTGCTGGGGTTGAGGCTCCTTAGTGGTGCCTTGGCCAGGACCAGAGATGCCCCTCTGGTCTGGGGCTGGCCCCAGAGCAGAGAG